GCCCAGCTCCAGGTTGAGCTGTTGTTCAGCATCTTAGCTGTAGAGGGCAGTGTCACTGGCTCTCATATGTGGGATCCGAACCGGGGCCCTCTGGCTTTTAACCATCGTGCCACTCGGCCGGCCCACCATTTAATTATTTAATACAGAACACAGAGAGTAACAGCAGTTTTCTGTCACTTACTAGCTGTGTACCTTGGGATGAGTGTCCTCCCCTCTCTGACCCTCAGTTGGCTACTATGAGAAAACTGTTACAAGAAGATAATGCATACAACGCAAGACAATACACTATAGCTTTTTCTTCCTTAGCATCTAGCTCTTTGCTAGTTCCAGAGGAATCAGAGATGTACACATCCAAGACCTTATCCTATTGTAGCTACCAGTCCAGTGGGAGACACAGCCCCATTACCAGACTGTGACAGCCCAGAGTCACAGTCAGGACTGGAATAAGGGGAGCCCAGGGAGAGTGGGATCCCAGAGGAAGCATCTGACCCAGCCAGGGAGGGAGTGCCAGGAAAGGCTTCCTGGAGGAAGGGATCACTAAGATGAGACCTAAAAGATGAAGATGACCTGTCAAGAGCAGACAGTGTTGTGGGAAGAAAGACTAACCTGTGCAAAGACCCTGAGTCCAGGGAGAAAAGAGAACAGGCTTTGTCTTGTTCCTAGATGAGTTCCCAATGCCTCACTGTTCATTTTCCTTGCTTCTGTCCCTTATCCATGCATTCATTAATCAATAAGCAATCACCAGCACCTCCTGTGCGATAAGCCCTGCACTGGACAAAGCTAGCAACACAGTGGTGACCACAACAGGCCTCCCACCCTGCCTTCGCAGTTCAGTGAAGGAGATAGCCCCATCGCCAGGCAGTCACAGCCCAGAGTGATCAGGTCTATGATGGGCGAAACAGAGGCCGAGTGATCAGGAATGTGGGGAAGGCAGCCCAGGTCCTATGGAAGCACCTGACCCAGACTGGAGGGTCATGGAGGGCTTACCAGAAGGGGTAGGGGGAGATTCCAAACTCGCAGTCTCTCTCCTAGCAAACAGAAAAGGGGATTCAGATGGCAGTGGTCTCAGGGACACGTCATAGGTTGAACTTGCCCCTTTCTCTCCCTAGGCATCGCTTTCTCCAATGGAGAGCGGTGGAAGGTCCTTAGGAAGTTCTCGATCCAAACTCTGCGGAACTTCGGGATGGGAAAGAGGAGCATTGAAGAGCAGATCCTGGACGAAAGCAGCTTCCTGTTGGCGGAGCTGCAGAAAACCGCAGGTCAGATCCTGAAATGCAGTCCACACCCCTAAGTCACACTGATCCTACTTAGTGACCAAGACTGCCAGATACCACAGCATGAATGTAGCCGGGAGGCTCCTCACTGAACTCACAATAAGAGTGGCGCCCCCTGGAGGTGGATCAGCTTGTGGTGCTGTGTTTCCGAGGTTCAGCAGCAGGACATGTGGTGGCCATTCTGTTGCACTGTGTGTGGTACTTGGAGCACAGCTTGTGCAATTGTGGTCAGTGATCTTGATGATGATACTCTTGAGACTCACCACGTGTGGGGCCCTGTGCTAAACACATTTTCACACATAAGCCCCATAATCCTTGGAACAATCCATTTTGCAGATGAGGAAATGGAGGCACAGAGAGGTTAAGTAGCAGGCTTGAAGTAATAAAGCTAGTAAGTGGAGGAGCCAAGATTTAAATCTATGTCTTACTGACACCAAAGTCCACACTCAACACATTCATGCCCATTTGTGGAGTGTTTACTGGATACCAAGCACCGTGCAAACATTTCACCCTCCCAGCAAGCCTAGGTAGTTGTTACAGGTGACGAAGTTAAGTCCCGGAACTGTTAAGTCATATGCCCAGGAATGCCCAGAAAGTGGCTGGGCTGGGATATAAACCCAGGTCAAAGCTGTCAATCCATTAAATAAATAAATAAAAATTTCCAGCACTTACACGATACCTACCATATGCCAGATCTGATCCAAGAACTTTGTGTTTATTACCTCCTTGAAAAATCACCCAAGCCTAAGAAGTAGGTCCCATTATAAGCCCCATTTTACAGAAGAACCTGAGGCACAGAGAAGAAAACAGCCCTCTACCCTCGTCTCCAAATCTTGCTGGTTTTGGGGTGGGGGAAATGTAGCAGGTGATGCTGCAGAGATTAAATGATGTAGGTAAAAGAAAACTCCCAGTATTTGTTTCCTATTGCTGCTGTAACAAATTGCCACAAATGTAGCGACTTAAAACAACACAAATTTATTCTCTTACAGATCTCGAGGTACAAAGTCTAAAATGAGTCAGCCGGTCTAGTTCTGTTTGGAGGCTCTAGGAGAGAATCCACTTCCTCACCTTTTCTGGCCTCTAGAGGTCACCTGCATTTCTTGGCTCCTGGCCCCTTCCTCCATCTTCAAAGCCAGCAATATAACACCCTCCAATCTATCTATATATCTCTCTCCTTCCATCATCATATCACCTTTGCTTACTTGGACCCTTCTGCCTCCCCTCTTATAAAGACCTTTGTGATTACACTAGACCCACCCAGATAATCCAGAATAATCTCCCTCTCTCAAGAGCCTTAATTTAACCACCTTTCTTCAGGTTCTTGGAGATTAAGATGTGGACATCTTTGAGGAGCCATTATTCAGCCTGCCACATCACCCTGGTTTGTAACAAGCTCACAATGGGCCAGGCCCTTAGCTAAGCACTTCCCAGCCATACAACTCACTGACTCCTTATAACAGCCCCATGTGGAGAACACTGTCATCAAGCCTATAATACAGATGAGAAAACAGGCTCAGAGAAGGGAAGTCAGTTCACTCAGGTCACACTGAGATTAAGAGGCCAAGCCAGAAAAGAGGCCAAGCACAGACCCAAACTATGCCTATCTAACTCTGAGCTGTGCTGTTAAGTAATGGTTAAAGTGTCAGAACGTATGTGTTTTAGCATTGTTTTCTGCAGGTCTGTTCAGTTGTTGGATCACTGGGTGTTAGATGTTGTGTTGCTATATGTTATTGCTGAGCAACATTGTAGTGTTGCCAGGCAATGCATGTAATATTATATTGTGTTGTCTCCTGTGCCACCAATGTTGGTGTGTTGCTGTATACTGTGTGTCAATCTGTTCTGCCGCCTTGATTGTATGTGTCGTGACATCACACACAGCATGTTCTGTTGGGTTGCTGTGTATTATTGTTGTGTGTTGCATTTCAGGGTGATGTGGTTATATGCTGGTGTTATATGTCCGTGTATTATGTTACCCTGTCTTGGGGTGTTTCTGGGCCAGCTGTTAGGTCACTGTGTGTGGCTGTGTGTGTTAGCAAGTAATGCAGTCATATTTGCTGGGCGTTTTGTTGCCATGTTATATGTTCTATGATGCCTGATGATTGCCATGTGTTCCTGTGTTGTGTGCTGTGTGTTGTGTCACCAAAAGCCTTTTCGGGTGTTGTTATGCTGCATGTTGGGTGGCCAGGAGCACGTATTCTGTGCTGCAAGTCACATGGTCATGGTTGGGTTGGATGTTGTGCAAGCTAGTGCATGGGGCCTGATGTGTTGCACTTGTGTCTCCCGAGCTTGCCCCCTGACCCTTTCTGCCCCTCAACCTCAGGCGAGCCCTTCGACCCCAAGTTTGTGCTGGGCCGCTCAGTGTGCAACATTATCTGCTCCGTGATCTTCGGTAGCCGCTTCGACTACAACGATGAGCGTCTGCTCGCCATTATTCACCTCCTCAATGACAACTTCCAAATCCTTAGCAGCCCTTGGGGCAAGGTCAGGAGGCCTAGTTATTTGGGGGACAGGGTGGGGGGTTCCACACAATTCAGCGACAAAGGTAAAACAGCGGGTGGGGGTGGGACTGCAATTGGCCCTACCTGACCCCGCCCCTTCTCGCCTGACCCCGCCCCCGAGTTGCACGGCCCCGCCTAGCCACGCTCATGTCCACTCCACAGCCTTTCCACAAACACACAGTCTCCGCCACCACTTGGCCTCTCCAGACCTAATTGCCCCTCAGGATCCCGTCCCTGCCCTCCTGATCCACCCTGACCTTCACTGGCACACACACATTGCCTGCCCCTCCAAACCCCACCGACTCTGCCCCACCCCTAGTGGTACAACCTCTTTCCGAGCCTTCTGGACTGGGTGCCCGGGCCGCACAGACGCCTTTCCCAGAACTTCAGGCGCCTGAAGGACCTCATCGCTCAAAGCGTCCGCGACCACCAGGCGTCCCTCGACCCCAACTCTCCCCGAGACTTCATTGATTGCTTCCTTACCAAGATAGCACAAGTAAGCCCTGCCTGGAAGTCCCACCTCTGGTCTGACCTGCTGCCCCTGCTTCAAACCAAGGATCCCAGGATGTGCGAGTTTTGGTATGATCTCACACCTGGGAAGCAGAGCTGAAACACCTAGCTCTGCTGAGCTGGAGCCCGGCGCCATTTGGGGCCACTGCCAATTAACTGTTCATTAAGCCATTAAGGATCTGTTGATTGTGGGCCCTGCGGCTGAGATTCCCCCTATCCCGCCCTCCCGCGCTCTCGCGCTCCCTAGAGGAAAGGAAGTTAAACAAAGGAGACACTGAACTGGCACCCAGCAGCAGTTGTGCATATCTAGGGGAAACCCCGCGCTCAGGCTCTGAGCCCGCGGTCACTGTCGGGGCAGGGCTCCAAGTCCTGGTTCATATCCCCATCAGGAGAAGCAGGACCCGCTAAGCCACTTCCACATAGACACCCTCCTGATGACCACATATAACCTGCTCTTTGGCGGCACCCAGACCTTGGGCACCACGCTGCGCTACGCCTTCCTTGTGCTCATGAAGTACCCAGAAGTGCAAGGTGCGCGCCAAGCCTGGCGGGGTGGTCTGCCCACAGCTCCTCCGGGCACGCCGCCCCGCCCACTTCTGAGCCCCGTGAGTCCCGACCCCGCCCAGCATGCCGGATTGTCGGAGCCTCCGGCTTTCGCTTGAGTCGCATAGCCAAACCCATACGCATGCCGACCCCACCCATGTGGCTCCCAGGGTCCACGCAGCCTGTCTGGACCTAGACCCCGCTCGCATGGTCTTGCTTCGCGGCCCACCTCTGACCCTGAGCACTCAGCAACCGTCCTGCCTCCGAATCCACTTCGCATAGTCTGCGCAGCCCACTGCCCGGAGCCTCAGCCACATGGCCAGCCCAGGAACCCATTTCCTCCCACACAGTCTGACACGCCCACACAGCTCTGTCTGCGACCACTTCTCCCCAAACCCAGCTTCTGGGTCTACCCCGGGACCCTGGCCTCCAGGACAAAGTCCGACAGGGTCCGCGACGCCTGCTCCACCCCCGATCTCTCAGCCCTCCCGCTCAGCCCTCACTCGATCCACCCTCCAATGGGTCTGGTCCTCGAGGCCCCGCCCACAATCTCATCAGGGGCCTGGACTCCAGGCATCCCCGAAGCCCCGACCGCACAGCCCAGCCCCTACGAGCCCTTGCACAAATCAAACTTTCGCCCTTACCGACGTCTCTAAACCCAACACGCCCTCTCCCCCAAGGCTCCGGCTAACCCTCACATTCACCTCTGCAACTGTACCCCGGCTGGGAAGTGCTAATTGGACCCCTCCCACACACGCACACACCTCTTCCCAGTCCGTTCGAGCCCGCTGATACCCTCGACTACGTGTCTCCCTTCAACACCAGCCAGGGTACAGGAGGAGATCGACCGTGTGGTGGGACGCGCGCGGCTGCCGGCAGTGAGGGACCGAGTGGCCATGCCTTACACAGATGCGGTGATCCACGAGGTGCAGCGCTTCGCAGACGTCCTCCCCATGAGCTTGCCGCATCGCGTCACTCAGGACACGACCTTTCGCGGCTTCCTGATACCCAAAGTGCGCTGAGTATCTGGCAAACGACATCTGACACACTCAAAAGAGGCATCCCAGACTCTAGCAATCCACACCCCAAACCTTAGTAACTGGCACCCTGAGCAAGCCCTAGCAACAGACATCTGGCCCTTAAATCCAGAACCTCAGTCCCTGCCAAAGCCCACATCCCACACCATAGTGGACTGGACTCTGTCCTGAACCTCAGACTCCATCCCATAACAGGTCTCCTTCCTAGGACCCCTCTCCGGAATCCCCAGGGTCTGAGACTTCATCCTGAGGATCCCCTGTGCCTAAACACTATTCTCAGAGATCTCATTCCCTCCCGAGAAACCCCAGATCTGTTCCCACAAAGAGGGTATACCGCGACCCTGCCTCAGACCCTGACAACACAGCTTCCAGTACCCATCAATTCCAGACACCCAAACACATTTCCTGGACCCCTGATATATTCCTATGCTTCAGCCCTTACTCGCGTCAAGCCCCCAGGGCTCCCAAGCCCCTGTAGAGTGGAAACTCTAGTTGGGCAACCTCGCAGCCGTTCTGCACCACTGAGTCTGTCTTCCACCCACACAGGGCACGGATATTATCACTCTTCTTAACACAGTCCACAAGGACCCCACCCAATTCCTGAATCCCCAGGAATTCAATCCTGAGCGCTTTTTGGATGCCAATCAGTCCCTAAAGACGAGCCCTGCCTTCATGCCCTTCTCAGCCGGTAAGAGCAGTGGGAACAAGAGTCAGTTTTTCAAAAAAAAAAAAAGTCAGTTTTCAGGCTCCTTATTCCCACCTATATTGCCCAGTTCTAATACCACTCCGCAAGCCCTCTCACTTCTTCATCCCACCCATCCTCAGCTTTGGATGTGCAGAGACATCCATGCTCCCTCCCAACTCTGCTCCTACAGGCAGATAATGACTGAAATCCTTGTGGATGGAGGTGGGGAGGCAGAACAATTTAACTTGAAAGCGGTCACTGTCTCTCCACTGGGTGGCGCAAGTGGAGTGGTTCTAGTTTTTCTTGGCTTTGGTCTTTACCCCCCTGAAAAAAATCTTTGCAACTCAGTATTAGAAACAAAAAAAGGACGGGGGGGCGGGGAGGAGATAATAATAGGTAACTTAGCATATTGATACTGCGTGCCAGGCCCTGCCTCTGAGAAGAACTATAAGAATGATGGCTAAGAGCTGGGGTTTGCAGCCAGACTCCAGCTCAGCTACCTCCAAGCGGGATAGCCTTGGATTTGTTACTTCACCTCTGTGTCTCAATTTCCACATCTATAAAATGGAGATGATAATAAAGCCCACCTCTTGGAGTTGTTAAGAGGATTAAGTTAATTAATTTCCGTGTAGTGCTTAGAGTAGTGCATGTCACATAGTACAACCTACTTAAGCATTGTATTTTCACTCCTTTATCTGCATTTAACATTCACACAACGTAATGAGGCACTATTATTATCCACATTTTAAATACCCAGAAACTGTGGCTTGCGTAAAATCACAAAACTATTAATGGCAGAAGGGGGATTGGAACCCATGAAATTGCATTTGTATAAGCCGGTTCATTCTGGCCCACGATTTACTTAAAGCATCTTCCTCAGACTTTTAGATGAGTGGGCCTGTGACGTCCCCAACCGTTATCCTCATATGTTTTCCTCTAGTAATTTGGAACTGGAGCGCTTTACCCCATTTTATCTAATCTCTCCTCCCCACCCTCCCACCTCCGCAGGACGCCGACAGTGCCTGGGCGAGTCTCTGGCGCGAATGGAGCTCTTCCTCTACCTCACCAACATTCTGCAGAGCTTCTCGCTGCAGCCGCTGGGAGCGCCCGAGGACATCGACCTGACCCCGTGCTTCTCTGGTCTCGGCAATTTGCCGCCGCCCTTCCAGCTGTGCATGCGCGCCCGCTGACGCCGGCTCTCTTAGGCTGTGGGCTAGAGGGCCGCCCCTAGGGGGTTGCTCCGTCCTTCTTCTCAGTCCACTGTGCCCCATCCCATCTCGCTGTCACATTCGCTTCCCCTCTGCTTGTGCCTGCCACATTCCCATCCCTCATCGCTCCTGTCTTTACTGGGAATGCGCCCCAGAGGCAGGGGAGGACACGGGGAATGGGAGGAGCATGCTTTGTTTTACCCGCAGAGCTTACCCACAGAAAAGTTAGGCACCTTTTGGGGGACTTTTTGGATCCTTTCCTAGGAAGTTATAAAAGACGCAAACCTGGAAGAACTGACTCTGGGTAGTGAACACGCAATGTGATATATAAATGATGTATTACAGAATTGTATACTTGAAATCTATGCAACTTTACTAACAATGGTCACCCCAATAAACTAATTAAAAATTTTTTTAAAGATTCAAACCTGCCTTGGGTGAATTAAAGGGAATCCCCTAGGATGGGGAGTAGGGAGGTCTGGCTGCAGAGAGAGGAGACACCTAACTGTGACTTCCACCCTCACCCTTAGGGCAGCTAGAAATTGAGAGAAATTGTTTTCCTGGAGACAGGCTGGAATACAAAGGCTGTGAGGACCTGTAGACAGAGAGGCAGAGAAAAGGAGAGCAGTCCAGGGAGACACCAAACAGGTCTGCAGGAGATGCAGGGTGCTTTACAGAGGGACGTGAAAGCAGGGATAGGGTAAGAGATGGGGAGATATAAACAGATACAGAGACTGAGAAATAACAATTACTAACACAGACTGCTTCCTAGTCACACACTGTTCTAATTATCTCATTGAAATCGCCCTATGAGGCAAAGCAATATCATTATACATTTTTACAGATGTGTAAACTGAGGCTCAGAGAGGTGATGTGACTTGCCCAAGATCACACAGCCAGAAACAGGCAAAGCATCTGGCTCCAACACTGCTCCTCTCAGTCTCACAAGACAGAGACACACAGGAAAGGAGAGAGATACAGTGACTGAGAAGTAAGGGGGCAAAGAGTATAGAAGATAAAGACAAGGAAAGAAACAGAAATGACCAGATAAAGACAGAGAAAAGGGCAATTATGGGGAAGTGAGGCACCAGAAGACTGAAATGGCCCCCCATTTCTCACCCTCTCCACGGACTATACCTTTGTCTTGAAAATTCCCCCCTTTGGGGTGGGGATAGCAGTCCCAGGCCTGAGGCCTCCCAATGTGAGACTGGAGTTAACACCCTGACATCCTGCTGACAGGGTGTTTTCTTAATGAGCTTCATTGAGCCAGAGTCAGGCAAAGTGGGGCTGGCCCCCCAGCCATGGACAGAGGTAGCCTGAGAGGTCCTACTCTGAACAGGATCACCCCAATGCCATCCAGGAGTTAGGACATGATCTGCTGAACATGGGGCTGGCTGGGGTGAGGTATATAGGAGGTCCCCGCAAGAAGCATCCTCTGCCTAATCCCCATGCTATTCCCACCACGGGTCAACCAGGGCCCAACCATGGACGGAGAGGTGGAGGAAGAGAGGAAGAGACTCAGAGGTCCTGAGAAAGATGGAGAAATAGTGAAGAGAAACACATAGAGATACTGAGAAAGAGACCGAGAGATACATAGAGACAGCAGAGAGAGATCCTGAAAACCAAAGACTGGGAGTGAGACAGACAGAAAGAGAGAGAGAGAGAGAGGAGGAGAAAGAGAGGTACTGAAAGGGAGAGATGCTCAGAGAGAGAAAAAAGACAAAGGGATTCTAAAACAGGGAGAGAAATTAAGAAGGAACAGAGATGAAGAGAGAGAGATCTGAGAGAAAAAGAAAAAGGAAGATTGAGAGACAGAAGCCTCAAGAGATGAGATACAGAGACAGACAGGAAGAGAGTCACAAGGATTCAGCAAAAGACAGAGACTGAGAGAAACAGAGTCTGAGTTAGAGACAGAGATTGAAATCAGGATGACAAAAGTCATGCACTCGTTCAGCAAACATTCACAGACTGCTCACTGTGTGCTAAGAACTATTTTAGGTGCTGGGGATACAGAAGTGAACAAGACAAAATGCCTGCTCTGAAGAGACCCTAATAGAGAGGACCCATTAGAGAGCTTGACAGAGCGGGATGGGGTGGGGCTCCAGGGAGGGTACACTTGCTGCACTCCACCACACCCCCGCTGTCAGTGCCCTGCCCCACAACCCCTACCAGCCACCAGGTTCCTGGACAGAGAAAGGCTGACAGGAAGACCCACAACAGAAACAGAGGCAGAGAGACGGACACACAGACAGGGAGATTAAGGTAAAGACAAATTGGGAGAGATGCAGAGAGAGAAAAAGACATGCTGAAAAGGAAACAAGAGATAGAAAACAGACATGAACAGAAGTAGACATTGAGAGTAAAACAGAGATGGACAGAGAGAAAGAGAGATGAACAGAAACAGAAAAACACAGGCAGAGATTGAGAGCGAGAGAGACACTAGGGAGAAGAAACAAGACTCAATAAAGAGAGATAAAGACACTGAGAGACACTCCCAGAGACAAGCCCAGTCCCAGACTATGCACAGCCCCCCTAGGGCCCTGTGCCAGGCACCTAGCGAAAGGCTGGATCTGGCAAGGCAGGGATGGGTGGGAGGGTGGGCTGCATTCCTGAAGTGTTCCAAGTACTGACTCAGCCACACCCCCAACCGCTGACCCACCCAGGCCTGGGTCTGTTTCCTCCAGCCCATACTGCCAGAGTCGGCCTGAGTGAGGCATAAGTTTGTCTGCCATCATGACCTGGCCTCAGGTGCGGGTGCCCACTGAGAGGCTTGGGGGACTGGATACCAGGGAGCGCAGCAGCATGGGCATAGGACATCTGGGGGCATCTGGGAGCCAGATGGGAATAGAAATGGTGGAAGTTCAGAGCAGGGCATAACAATAGGGATACAAGGGGGCCAACATGTGGGAAGGAACCCCAGGAGTCATAAGGATAAGCACAGATATGCTAGGCTGATAGGAACCAGGAGGCTAGGGGACTCCATAAGTGTCTAGGAGACAGGTATGGCATACAGAGCTCCAAGAGCAGTGGGCATGGAAGTGACAAGGGCTCAGGTGTGAGTCCCTAGGAATCACAGTCATGGCACAGGAGTGCCAGGTTAATAGGCACATCATCACTGGTGTTTTTATAAGTGTATTTAGGAGTCAGGAATGTATTTAGGAATCAGAAGTGTAGTCATGTACCACTTAACAATGGGATACATTCTGACGAATGTATCGTTCTGCGATTTTGTTGTTGTGCAAATATCACACACCTAGATGTGTAGCCTACCACACACCTAGTCTGTATGGTATAGCCTATTTCTCCTAGGCTACAAGCCTGTACACAGCATGTTAGTGTACAAAACGAGATTAAATCAAACATAAGAGAAATGATACAAATCAGGAGATGTGGTTAACACAAGATGTTTGAGGTTGCTGCCAGCATCACACAGTGTACTGTTTTACAGCAAAGTTGTTTTTTTATCAGTAGAAAAAGTGCTCTAAAATAATGATAAAAATTATAGTAAATGGGCTGGCCAAGTGGCGCGTTGGTTAAGAGCTGGCTTGGGACACCAGCTCTGAGCAGCAGGACCACAGTTCAGATTCCACATGAGGGCCAAGGATGCTGCGCCCTCTACAGCAAAGATGGTGAACAACAGCTCGAACTGGAGCTGGGCTGCCGACAGTCGTTGGCAACTGTGTAGGTTGCAGTTGGGTTGGCGGGCAGCGGGAGTGAGCTTTCGTGTGCTGCCATGAGCCGCCATAAGCGGCTGTCCAAAGGCTGGCAACCGACTGCCTCACCTGGGAAGAGCTCAATGATAATACTAACATGGGCCAGTGAAGCAATGTCCTCCACAACTAGACTGAAGAATGAAAGAACAGCAACTTGTCTGTTCCCCTTCACGGATTCCCCAATAAAATCTTTTAAAAAGGGGCTGGCCAAATAGCTGGTCAAGAGCTCATTCAAGAGTTGGTTAAGAGCTCATTCAAGAGTTTGAGCTCTGAGCAATAGCGGTTCGATGCCTGGCCCAAGCTGAGCTGCCGAGGCTGGCTCAGCTAAAAAAAAAAAAAAAAAAAAAAAAACTTTTTAAAAAAAGTAAATACATAAACCAGTAACATAGTTGTTTATTATCAAGTGTGTACTATAATTGTATGTGCTACACTTTTATACAACTGGCAGCACAGGTGTGTTTACACCATCATCACCACAAACATGTGAGCAATGCGTTGTAATACGACTTAACAACAGCCACAATGTCATCAGGAGATAGGAATTTTCCAGCTCCTTTATAATCTTCCGGGACCACTGTTGTATATGTGGTCCATTGTTCACCTAAACATTGTTATATGGCACATGACTGTACAGGGTCAGGGGTCACGGGCCCAGAGAGATTCAGCAATGCACACCTACAGGCCAAATAAGACAGACCCAAAGGTACTAGGGGCTGAGGAAGGTACACCCATTGGCCAAGTGTAATGACACGGAAATGCTGGTACATGGAAGTCACCAAAAAGAGCAGGCTGAGGATGGTACAAAAAAGGCCAGGCTAACCAGGCACATAGTGCTAGGAGCAGGGTGACCTTGAGTTGGGGAATCTAGAGAATGAGCAGTTACAGACGCCCACCCCTCCCACTCCGAGACCCCAAAGGGATCTAACAGGCAAATAGGTGCAAGCATCCAGGAGTGAGGGCATGATGACCACAGAATTGTAGCGCTGCTATTGCTGCTTCTGCTGTTGGCACTAGGAGGCGGGTTGGGGGTGCGCGGGCACTCAGGTGCAGAGGGCCCTGTCCTCAGGCCCATGCTTCTCCTGCTGTCAGGGAACTTGCTGCAGCTGAAGCCCAGACTCCTGGACCATGCACTCATGGAGGGAGTCCTGAGAGTGGGGGAGGGTACAGAATTCTGGATTCATGGAGGTGGGGCTGGGGGCTGAAACTCCAGTTTCTCTGAATGGAGACAGAGTTGAGGGTTCTACCAGTTCCGAGGAAGGTTAAGGGGCCTGAAGTCCTATGTTGGGCCAAAGAAAACGGTGGGTCGAAAAGCTGGGGGCCTGGACATCTAGTTGTGAGGAAAGAGGAGACCAGGTGGGGAGTCACATACTGAGGGAAGAGGCTTCAAGGTGGAGTCGTGCTACTCCATCCCCAACCTCCATTCCTGGGTCCTGAGGGAAGAAGAGCCTGAGATGAGCAGTCCCATGCGGGGTGGGGGTGGGGGTGGGGGGGGATCGGGGCCTCGTCTCCTGGTTCAAGGCTGGGAGGGGGAGTACTGAGGACCCAGAAGCCTAGTTCTGAAGGTGCAGGGGGCTGGAGACCTGGCTTTCTAGGCCCTGAGGGAGAAGGAGCCTGGATTCCTGGGTCTAAGGGAGGAAAGGGCTGGGGATCTGAACTCCTGGGCCTGGAATGAGGGGCTGAGACGGAAACTCCAGGGTCTGAAGGGAGCTAGAGGCGGAGCTCTGGAGTCTTGGAGCAGGAGGGGGTCGGGAGCCCCAACCAGGCCCAGCTGAGCACCGGCTCCATGTAGTTCTCTGGCTGCTGGGGCCCGCGCCCTGCAGTGATGCTGTGCGGCTTCGCAGCGCTGCGGGAAATATTAGTGCTGCAGGCGGATACCCTCTCCGGCCGCGAGGCCATGGCAGTCTTTGAACGCTTCACACGCGGAAAACGTGAGGCCCAGGCGGCGGAAAGGCGGGCCTGGGCATCCTGTTTGGGCAGTAAAAGGCGGGACCGGGGAAATGGGGCGGAGCCTAATAGAGAACCAACACTAATGAGCGCAAACCGTGAGGAGAGGGCGGGGTGAAGCTGAAGTGTAGGGTCGAGTCGCGGGGACTGGTTCCTCCTGCAGCCCACAGAAGAACCTAAGAGTCAAAGCCAAAGAGAGCAAGCGCTGGTCAGAGAGAGAGAGACCAACAGAGGTGGGGCCAATGTGTGAAGACGGCCGAGAAGGCTGAGGTGGCAATCAAGAGGTCTGAAAAGAAGCAAAGCAAAGGGTTGCGAAGAAGTCGGCTCGGCACCTGGACACTTCCAGGGGGCGTGGCTAACCCCTGGCCCGCCCCCTTCGCTGCCTCACCCCCCAGCTATCACTTTTTCTAACGCGCCGCGCTGGCTGACCCTGCGCAATTTCGCACTTGCAGCGCTTTAAGGAGTTCGGGTTGGGTACGTGGACCACACAGGAGCGCGTCCTGAAGGCGGCGGCTTGTTGACTGGGCGAATTTCAAGCCACCACTGATACGGGCTGTTCGGGAAAGGAGAGGGACCTGGTGTGGGTGTGGCTAACAGCCCAGAAGGGGCCGCGGGAAAGCGTTTGGGTGGAACGGAGCCTGTAAGTCCAAGAGCTAGCTGGGAGCCTACCCACAGCGTTATGACCTGGTCCTGTTCCCAATCCCAGGAGCGCCGTTCAACCCCCGGCAGCTACTCGATAATGCTGTGCATCTGTTATCTGTTCTGTGGTCTTTGGGAACCGCTATGGCTACAAGGACCAGGAGTTCCTGAGGGTCCTGGATCTCTTCTGTGACAACTTCCGCATCATGAGTTCCGGGACGAGGTGAGAGTGCCGGCGCCGATCCCTCCCTCGTGAGCCCAACCTACGCCAAATCCTGAGTCCGTATACCTACCTAGATGGATCAGTTTTAAAATAGGGCAGTCTTAGGATCTTGGGATGGAATAGTTCTAGAATTTATAACATCAAAGCCCTGGTTCAGTGTCTCTATAGGGAAACTAGTGGGCTTGTTCAAAGCCCTATTGAGATCCTGTCCCCCCAGATGAACATTTTCCCCTCCCTCCTGGACTGGCTCCCGGGGCCGCAACACCAGATCTCAAAATTTCGCGGAACTTCTCGATCTTCATCTCTGATCAAAAGCAGCGGCCAGCAGACACAACAGCCTGGGGAACCCGCGATTTCATGGGCAGCTTCCTCAATCAGATGGATAAGGTGCTGCCCTAAACTCTATCCATGCTGCCTACAAAGAGGCGCCTGGCACGCGGCAGCACCTGTCTCCTCTGTCTACAGGAACAGAACAGCCCAGAGTTACTTCCAGGAAGAAGAGACTTTGGTGATGACAACACATAACCTTTTTTTCCTGCAGCACCCAGACCACGACCACCACCGTACACCACGGGCTCTTCATTCCACTCAAATACCCAGAGGTGACAGGTTTTCGAACAGAAGAGCCCAGGATGAGGAGACTAGGGTTTGGAGATGGCTGGGGAGTGAGCGGCTCACACGCTCTGCCAACCTCAGCCAAGGTGAAGGCTGAACTGGACACCGTCATAGGTTAGGTGTGTGACCCAAGCCTGGAGGACCCAGAGCGCCTGCCCTACACCAATGCCGTGCTGCACAAGATTCAGCGCTTTTTCAGCGTGCTGCCCGATGCCCTCACCCACAACACCCACCTGCGCAGCCACTTCCTACCCATGGTGCCCACCAGGCCAAGGGATTCTGCACAGGGGCTGGGGAGCACCTTTAACCAAGATTAGCAGGCATGAGCATGCACAAGAAATAAGACCCTGGGAACAAGAAATAAGGTCTGCCTTCCCCCTGGCTTCTAAATAGGGTCTTGGATAGATGAAAGGCAGTCTTGCCAAGTTTGTAGGTAACCCTTGCATGTCCCCCCAGGACACCTTCCTGATTCCTCTGCTTGTGTCTGTACATTAGAACCCCACCCAATTCAAGGACCCAGACTGCTTTAACCCTACCAATTTCCTAGACAAGGGCTGTTCCAGAGCAACGATGCCTTCATGCCCTTTGCCCCAGATCTGGGCTAGGCAGGGAGGGGGCCAGCCGGGGCAGGCTCTGTGTCCCCAGGAAAGCAAATTGCCTGAATGCAGATCTGGCCCCATGGGAGATCTCCCTCTTTTCACCACCACCCTGTAGCGGTTCTGCCACCTCCCTGTGGTGAGCCCCACCAATATTCTCGTAGTCCTCACTCCACAGTGCACTGGCTTGGGCAACATCCCCTTAGCCTTCCAGCTTCGCATGGTGGCCTGCTGAGGTCAAACTCAGCCATCCTCTGCTCCCTGATTCGCAGAGTTTATCCCCTTTGATCAATAAAGAACCTGAATTGCAGATAGAGGCATCTCCTTACCAAGAAGACAGAATCGGATGTGTGCAGCTCTGAGGTAAACTTTTATTTATTTCTTGGCTGACAGGACTTGCACACCCATGCTCCTCCCAGCACCTTTTATCCTGCCCAAGCAGTGGCAGCCTAGTCCAAAAGGTGCCATGGCCAAAGGGGTTGGGAGTCACTTCACATTCCAGGCTGGAGGAGTGGGGGGCTTGGGGATGTTCCCCCCCACAAACCTTTGCCAGCAAGAGGCCATGACTCACCTCAACCCCAAATCCTGCATCCTGGTGGGAAGTGGCAATGCCTCCTTCCAGCTCTCCACACCTGAGAGGGGCAAGACATAGGCCCCCAGCTCCAGTAATGGTAGCCCCCAACACTGGCCCTTGCCCAGGTTGCAACCCCAGCCCCCATCACAGGGCAGCACAGGTCTCTCCTCTTCCTTGGTCCTCAGTGACTGAGGGAGCCCTCCACACCAGGCAGGACAGAGGCAAAGTTGGAAGCAGCAGCTGTGGCGGGGAAGGAATAGGCACCAAGACTGGTGGGCTGCTGGCCGGGCAGCGCAGGCCGGGGCTTTCCCGAAGTCAGGGCAAGCTGTCTGTTCATGCAGCTCTGGGGATGGCCACTAGGTGGGCGTACTCGGCTGAGATACAGGTACTTGGACACCCTTCTGTCCTGATGCTGGGTGGGGAGGAAACAGGAACTAGTGAGTCATCAGGGAAGGGACAAAGAGGCCAAGGAAAAGCTGGGCAGGTGGGGGAGAGGACCAGAAGAGATGGGGCTCATGCTGGGAGTACCAGGAGAGTAGGTGTCTAAGAAAAGCGGGCAAAGGTGAGGAAAAACGTGGCAGGATTTAGTAAAAGGCTGACGAAGTAGATGAGGTAGCTTGAGGCCTGGTGAGGTACATGTAATAGGAATAATTTGAGGGAGGGGATGCCAACTGGGAAGCAGATACCTAGCTGATACTTGTCTTTGGCTGCTGCTCGCTCCTTGGCATCAAAATACCAGACAGTGATGGCGTACCTGGGGACCAGAGCAGCCCCGGAGGGCGATTAGAGATCACTTTTCTTCAATTCCAGCCACCGTATCCATAGTGACACCAGAGCCCACCCTCTGAGCCTGGTAATGCTCCCACCGAGGCTCCCTCAACACTTCATCACTCCCAGGGAGCACCTGGGCACACCCCAGAAGTATGGGTCATACCTGGTGGCATAGGCTGGTTTCACTTCATGAGGGTTCCGCCGGTCAGACCAGAAAATGAGCAGCCGGTCAAAGAGTGGCTCGATGTTAGCTACCACAGGCCGGCCCTCAGGGAAGATCTGCAGTAGGCCGCCATGCACCTGAGGGCAGGCCAGAGGATGAGGCAGGAGGCTGGCACTGTCCACCCCAAGGAGCCCACCAGGGGGCGTAGCAGCTGTACACATCATTCCCTTCCACCACTCAGCCCCTTAAAATGAATGACAACCCAGAGTCTGCCTCACCATGGAGATGGGCAGGAAGCTATTAAAGACAGGAAATGGAAGGGAGGGTTCATTAAGCCAGTGGCTGGGCAGACAGCACTATACCCCAAAGGAGGGGGCTCTGCCACTGTCCAGTCAGCTAGAGAGGAGGTGCCATTCCCCAGGAAGAGCCATGTGGCAGATTGCCCCACCAGTCTGTGGACTGAAAAAAGGAACGGGAGAATGCTAGAAGCTGAACTGGAAGTGGAAAATGGAGTAGATGCATGCCGCCCCACTCCCATCCCCACCTCAACACCCTACCTTGACGTCCCAGTTCTGATTCAGGTAATAGATACAGGTGATGCAGCGCCCATCGCCGTGGGGATTGTCAACATGCCTCACATACCCCAGCCCGTTGCCTGGATAACATGCCACCATGGCCTGTCAGAGACAGATGGGGGTGATTTACTGTGGCTAGGCAGGGACATTTGAGAAGCAGCCATTACCTCCTTTCTCACCCCTCCCTGCCCCTGGTCTCTCCCCTGACTCCTCAAGCATCCTGAGCCCTAAGGGCTCCAGACCCAACTTTCTCCTTTTTCAGCCAAGCCCCCATCCACCAGAAACTTCAGTTCCAGGGCCTCAACAGCCCATCGCGCGCACATACACACCTACCTACCTAAAGACTGGCACCCAGAAGGGGCTCAATGAGCAATTGAGTGTTTCATTTTTTAACCCTCTGTTGGGCACAACTGATCTCAGATTCATTGCACACACAGATGTTGCTATGAAATACCTTTTTACTGTACTAAGTCACAAACATGACTGGTGATAGTTTACGGTAGGGGGGAAGACACGGAAGTGATGCGTCACTATACTTAACTGTTAAGATATGTGAAAATTTGTGTGCAATGAATCTGTGAGAACAGTTGCGCCCGATGGAGGGTTAAAGATAACCCGACCCCACCTCAGACATTTCAGCAAAATAAAACCAGTGTGAACGTTTTCTGATGTGCAGCCCTCACAGCCCTACACCAGGGGTTCTCGCTCTCGGCTGCTGAGTGATACCACCTGGGACACTTATAACCCAAGGCCCACCTCAGAGGTTCTCATGTACTTGGTCTAAGGTGGAGTCTAGAATTTTTAAAGGTGCCCCAGGTAATTCTAATGCGCAGCAATGTTGATAACTGCTGCGCCTGACCACAAAGAATCACTGCTAAATAAATTACACCTCCTACACATACCCAGACCTAGAGTGTGACTAGACCTAAGATCTAATCCCAACTCCAAGGATAACTGGGTAGCCTTGGAAAGTCCAATCGCCTGAACGAGCTTCAACGGCCTCATCTGTAAAATGGAACTATTAATAATAAACACCTCTTGGACTGGCCAAGTGGCTCAGTTACTTAAAGAGCGCGCGCTCTGAGCAACAAGGTCACCGGTTTGATTCCCACATGGGCCAGTGAGCTGCACCCAAGCTGAGCTGCCGCTGAGTGGCAGGATGGCTTAGCTGGTGAGAGCACATGCTCCTAACAACAAAGTTGCCGGTTCAACTCCCGCATGGGATGGTGGGCTATGCCCACCTGCAACTAAGATTGAACACAGCACCTTGAGCTGAGCTGCCCTGAGCTGCTGACAGGTGGCTGGATGGAGACTGGACTTGGGAGCTGAGCTAGCTGCGCCCTCCACAACTAAGACTGAAGAACAACTTGGCTGTTCCCCTTCTAAATTCCCCAATTAAAATAATAATAATAATAATAATAATAATAATAATAATAATAATAATAATAATAAACACCTCTGTTTATGGCAGTGGCATTAACCCCTCTGTGAACCTAGCTTTGGATGTTCCTGACCACACAGATCTAACAGGACTCATTCCATGTCTTGGCTTCTGTGTGTACAGATCTAGCCACAGGTTCTCTCCTCCTCTCCCTGAACTGCCCTGGCCAGCCCTGACCATGCTGAGGCCTAGCCACTTGGGGCCTGTTTCTCATCAGGGAGCTGACACAAAGGTGGATGGATGTGGTATGAGGAAAAGGGTCCAGGTGTTCCTACAGACCTCATGCCCAGGTTTAAGATTTAGGTCCTCCTCAGCTGGAGACCGTCTGTCTTGACCCCTCCACCTAGGCCAGACTGCCAGCTGCTGCTCCCCATTAACACTCAGCTACACCTGTGAGGCCACAGCCCTGAGGTAAACATTCCTGATCAAAAAGATCAGCATCTGAGTCCAAAACAGGCTTGCCAAACACCCCATGTTAGGCCAAATTGACTCAATCCCTCCGCCTCCTCCCGACACGTCATCCCCAGGGCTCAGCTCAGCATGAGCGTAAACCGCATTACACATGTGCACCTGAACCACCACACCACCTGCCCTGGGCAAGAGGCCAGGAGGGCTGCCACCAGGTCAGGCCACCCAGCCGTGCAAAGCACGCTTCTCTCTGCAGCACCAGGGCACAGGCAGTGAGCAGCCCCTACACCCCCAGGCTCAAGAGCACCCTCTGTGCACTGCACACTCCCTGCAGGTGGGTCAGCGCTCTGAGTAAGCACTTCACTGGCAAGAAAGGACACAGCTATAGCCCAGGTGGCCTGGAATTTGTAGTCACTGATTAGGGACAGGCAAGGCCTCCCCAGTTAGAATCCAAGCAGAGATTTTGCTGGTTGTGCACAAGGAGGGGCTGGGGAAAGGGGTTCAACCTCTTCCCCTACAATCCATCCCCCACACAGCAGCCAGAGACATTTTTCTCCAGCTCTTCATTGTTCAAATCCCTTCAAGTTCCCACTGCATCCCCCCAAAACACAAAATACAAACTGCCCACCACCACATCTCCTATCCCTATCACTCTGCTCCAGCCTCTTGGGCCTCCTGACTGTTCTCTAACCTGGCCAAGCTCATCTCCAAGGCCTTTGCACCTGCCTGGAACACTCTCCTCCCCACTCCCGTCCTCTTGTTATTCAGGTCTCCAGTTAAGGGGTACCTTGAGTACTCTAGCTGGAGGAACCTGGGCTGATTTTCCACTCCACCCCTCAGTGTAAAATCAGCACAGGTACTTGTTTATCTAGTACTAGGCCCAAGGCCTGTCTCCCTGGTGGGTAGCTGCTGACTGAAAACACTGCTCTGGGCCTCAGAGCCTCTGTTCCCATCCTGCCCTGTGCACCCTCACACAGGGTCTCCCACCATGCAGCAAAGGCACCCTCTGTGGTCTGGCATGGAATGGTACTTGTGTGTGAAGGCTGGGCACAGACACAGGCCCTTTAAGGCGCCCCCCCACACACACACACACACACACTGTGAGGAATGGAGGGTGGAGGCTTACTCTGGCCCCAGAGGAGCATCTACTTCCTCCCCCACAAGGGAAAGGGACAACAAGCAGACTGACATGGACACACGGAAACTAGTTCCTCACTCTTCCACCTCAGGGAGGGGGCAGCTGGATTCAGAGCTAGGAAATTAAGAGTTAAAAGCTATTGGTGACAACGTGCCAAGAGCCCCAACACACACACACACACACACACACACACACACACACACACACACACACACACACACAAACCACCACCACCCCCATCAGAATCTGGGGACTGATCCAAGGACAGCAGGCCCCACCTCCAAGCTGCTCTTAAAGGGGCAAACCAAGCCCACCAGGTCCTCCTTGGAGTACCCTGTGGTAGTATTAGTAGGGGTCAACTCTCTCCAACCTGCAGGCTAACTGAGCAGAGCAAGCGAGACAAAACACGGGCACTCCACTTGAAACAACAGAGCAGGTTGTTGCTGGACCTAGCCATACTGGTGATCCGTGCCCCCACCACCACTGTGGCCACCCACCCCAGCACCCCACACTGTCTTACTCCAGAGCCTGGGGAGGGAGCCCAGATGTTGCCCTTTGAAGGCAGGGAAGCCTGGAGTTGCTGTCTCATTGGGGCAGGGGAGGGTCTAATAGGAACTCCAGTGATTGGGTTGGCTCCTCCCCTCCCTTCTTAGTCTACCCTGGCTTACCTCCCAGGGCAATAGGGGTCACCTAGGGCTAAAAAAGTCACACACACACCCAAATCCTAGCAAGGGCCCTGTCCCCAACCACATCCGAGGTATCAAAGGGTAAGAGATCTGCTCCCTCTACCCTCCCCTCCTAAAACGATCACAGACTAGCTGGGGACTTAACCTGGTTTTCCTATCCTGTGGATGAGCAAACTGAGGCTCAGAGAAGTGTCCTGCCCTGGGCCATTCAGCTCTTGTGGTTCCCCGAACTTCCCTCCTGCAATGATGGGGACCCTGGGGTGAAGGTGCTGAGCACCCCGTGGCCAGGGGGACTCCCACTAATCTCTCCTGCCTGCGCAGGAGTAGAGCCCAGGGAGGGGCCGCCTCTGGCTCTCCAGCTATCAAGTAACCAGGAGGGAGAGGGAAGTAGGACAAGTTCCAGCTGGGGTGGGGAGAATACTGGCCTCAGCCCCAGGGGAGCACTGGTCCCCAAGCCAGCTCCAGCCTGAGAGGGAAGCGGCACAGAGGCAGAGCCCAAGATGGGATATGAGAAAGGAGGGAGGGGACATCAGGAGCACAACCTCGTGCCTGAAGGGCAGAACACAGCCAGTGCCATCAGCCAGGCATCACTGGTGTTGTGCAGTAAGCATTCCCTACAAGGCCTTGTCCAAACGACACCAAGCCTTGGACTCGAGGTCAGGGCCCTCACACCCCTTCATGAAGAGAACTATCGTGTCAGCAGGCTGGAATAGCCCTGTGGACCACTGTCCTCTGCAGGACTCCTGACCCAGGTTCTTGAATGGGCAGCTAGGGGCCCAGGAGGCCCTGACAGCTGCCCAAAAATTCCAATCAAATCAGCACTTTTCTTAAGAGAGGATCGCAAAATAACAGATTCTCAAAATGGCCCAGGTTCCAAAAAAAGATTAATAACTACTACTCTAAAGAAAAAGAGACCAAGGGCCAGCCGAGTGGCCCAGTTGGTTAAGAGTTCACTCAAGAGTGCGAGCCCTGAGCAACAGAAGTTCGATTCCTGGCCCAAGCTGAGCTTGCAAACAGGTGGCAGGATTGTTCAGCTAAAATAAAAAAAACAAGAAAAAGAGACCAAGAAGAAACACACAGAAAGAGGATCAAGGGAACAGACCACAGCCGGACAGGAATGAAGTGATGGACAGACAGGACAGAAAGGATGGAGAACAGGGACTAGGATGGGGAAGAATAAGAAAGACGGGGGCAGGACTTCCACCCCGGCCAGCACACAGCCACCCAGTGCCACCCCCAGGAAGCTGCCCTTGACACAGACACCATAGTATGGCATACAGAGCACAACGTAGTCCAACGCCAGGCACAGCAGGCAGCACCTCCTCCCTCAGCCTGGCACTGGCCTCAAAAGTGCCACCCTCCCCCCTTCACCTCCTGGTTCTCCTGCCTAGGAGAAAGGATGGACAGACCAGAGACAGATGGGGGACAGGATGGACTAGACACGTAAGCCAGCAGACAGAGGAGGATGAAGGAAGACAGGGACAGACAGGTGCAGATAGACAAACGGAAGCAGAAACATGTGCCCGTCTACTTGGACAGTTCTTGGGCTGAGGCCCATGCACAGGTGTGCGAATAAGAATGTCGGCACCTGTTCTCAGGTTGTTCAAGAGGATCCCTGGCAAGGTCAAGAAGCACTGTGGCTACAGGCCAAACCCTTGGTTTACAGGTGCAGAAACTAAGGCCCACAGGGAGAAATCACACAGACCCGAGAGTTCCCTCAGAGAGTAAGAGCCCAAAGTGAACTCCGACACTCCCTCAAATGAAGCTACCTAAATCCTTCAGTGACCCCAGAGGCCTGTCTCCAAACCCACTGGTGCTGAGAGCATGGGGCATCCAAAAAATGCATGCTGGGCAGCCTTACCTTGGTGCGCCCATTGATGACGTAGCGGCCCAGGCGCCCAGCGCAGTGCCGGATTACAGCATCCACGTGGGCCATGAGGGCCCCGATGCTTCTGCAGCCTGGCTCGTGGCCTTCCACCCAGGCAATCTGGTCCCCACGGATGCTGCGTGGTGGGATAGCCCGCTGGCTCACTAGCTGCCCATCACGCAGGCGCCCGCCCCGTTTCAGGGCCTCCACCTCGGCCAGCACGCAGCTGCCCAGCGCCGCCCCCAGGAAGCTGTCCTTGACACAGATGCCGTAGTACCGCATGCAGGGCACGATATAGTCCAGGGCCAAGCGCTCAGGCGCAGTGGGCAGCTCCTCCTCCCTCTGCCCAGCGCTGGCCTCACCACGGCCACTGCTGCAGCCCATGCCGCCCTCCCCGTCCACCTCCTGGTTCTCCTGCCTGGCCCAGGGCCGCTTGCTGGGTGCAGGGGCATCCCCACCATCCTCTGCCCATTTCCGTTTAGGGGCCTCAGGCCGGGCGCCCTGGGCTGCCAGTCGCTGGCACCCCTTGGTGACCAGTGCCGCAGCACCCTCACTCTGCAGTGGCCGCAGCTCACCACCATCCTGCCCTCCGAAGCCCTCTGGCAGGGGGCTAGCTGTGGTGGAAGTGGCTGTGGCTCTGGGGGTCCCACTCCCTGCTGAGGCTTCAGTAGGAGCTCCTGGACATCCTGGACAGTGGTAGGAGGGTAGCAGGGGACACGGCAGGTACCTCTCTACCCCCATCCTGGACCGGCCAGGCTCCAAAGGCTCTGACACAGAACCTGGCAATGGAGGGAGAGCCTGACTCAGGGGCTGAGGCTGGCACGGGCTGTCCATGGCAGCAGTGTCTTCATCCCCCGGGCATGGAGGGCACGGCCCGGGCCCATGGTGCCACCCTCCTCCGCTGCCGCCTCCTCCACTTGATGCAGCTGGGGGCCGGGGTGGCCGGGCCTGGCGTGGGGCTGGGTGAGGCAGGGCAGGTGGCAGAGGCTCTTCTCGTGCCCTGGGGGTGCTTGCTGGTTCCCAAATCCTCTGCTGTCCCTAGGGGCTTGGGAAGGGACCTGTCAGGGTGGCTGCAGGGAGAAAGAGGGGGGGAAAAAGGGATGTGAGAGAAGCTAGAGGCAGCCAGGATGGCTGGAGGACAGGGTGAGGGGTGGAAGGGCAGTAGAAAGGCAGACAGACCAGGCTACAGAGACCCCAAAATCTGAGCCAAGTGAGGGAGTAGACCCTGGGAACTTTGGGGGGAAATCATGACAGACAAGTCAGTGAGGGAGGCAGCAAAGGAGTTAGGCTAGATCGATGACCCAAAACAGAAGACTGAGGTGGGGGCTGGGGAAGAGAGCATCCTCAGAGACAAACAGAAAAGAGGGAGGGGCCTGAAGTAGAAAAGGAATGGTGGAGAAATGGGGAGTAGGAGTTAGAGACAAATAGGGGTGATCTGCGTGGGGGTTTCAGAGAGACACAAAGAAAATGTGGGGGGTCCACAGAAAAAGCAAAATGGGGAGGACAAAGAAAACAGGAGGGGTAGGTTGGGGTGGGGGGAAGGAACAGAGACAGAAAAACCGGAGAAAAGCCGGGAGGGCCTGAAACAGCCGGACAGACAGGGGTGGAGGGGTCGACCTGAGCCCAACGGGAGGAAGCCTGTTGGGGGCTGACACACCCAGACGGAAGGGAGGTCCTGAGACAGACAGACGGACGGAAGGGAGCCGCCGGAGGAGGGTCCACAGCGACAGAGGGAAGGGCGGAGGAGGGTTCACGCACTCGCGGACAGGACTAGGGAAAAAAGAGACACCCCACCCTCCCGCCACCAACTCCCTTTCGTGCAGGCCCTGAGGCTCGTCAGGACGCAGCAGGAGACGGAAGCAGGCCTAGGGACCGCTAAGGTCCCCGTGCCCCCTCCCCTACCCCTCTGCCGAGTGCGCACTCCTCACGGTCACCCCAACCCCCGCAACGGCCGGCTTCAACGTGCCCGTCGCAATCCCTCCCCCACGCTTTACCCCCCCCCCGGGGTCGCCACGCTTCCCCACCGCGGGCCCGGCGCACGTCCCGACGCCCCGCCCGGCTCCCGCCGGCGCCCCGACTCCAGCGCCCTCTCTGCCCGGCTCCCTTCCCTCCCCGTGTTCTCCTCACCGAGCTTTTTCCTCCGGCCCCGGCGCCGCCGTTTGTGCCAGCCGCCCAGCGCTGCACAGCGCGCCATACCCCGCCCCCACCACCCGCGGCGCTCCGCCCCCCGCCTCGCCCGGTGGATACGTGACCGCGCCCGGGCAGAAGAGACGGTGCGCAGGCGCTAGCGGCACGGGGCGGGGCGAGGACACTCAAAGGACCACCCTCGAGAAAGGGGAGGTGGGCCGGCCGACACGGGGCTTATTTGCATCTACGCCCCGCCCCTTTGAGCGCGAGGCGCTAAGGCAGTTAGAAAGGGCTGAATTAGGAAGGGGCAGTTTCTGCGCACCTGACGCCAAGCGATGTGGGAGGGATATGCAAATAAAAATGCTATTTGGATAGACCCACCCCCTCAGAGCCGAGAACGCCGCAATGAGTAGCCCGGTCGGAGAGTGGCATGCAAATCGTCGACATTATTTACAAGGACAGCTCCGCCTTCTCACGGCCCAAGAATAGGGATATTGAGAAATGTCGGCGCAGTTAGTTGGGAAATTTATCTAAATTAACACGTCAGTGACAATTTACCAAGGCCTTTTTACAGCGGAGGGAAAAAGTTAGAAACGTCCTTGAGAGGAAGGAGAGCGGGTTAGAAGGGATGTGCAGCCGTATCCTGATCTATTCTGCCCTGTCTCCTCAAGACAATTTGCAGGAGTCTGAGTAAAGCAACCTAGGAAAACTACGCAGAGACCCTGGCTGAGGAGGGGCTCAGGCCTCCCAAGGGTGGGTTAAAGCTGACTTGGAGGTAGAGCAGTTAGAAGGGGGCTTCACCTGTCCCTGGCAGAGCACGTGCGGTGTCAGCGGTTAACCTGGACACAAGGAGATAACACCTGACTCCAGTATGCTCTCGAGTCAGGGTTGCTCAAAGACCCACACGAGGTTCATGGTCACACATAGGAGTGTCAAAGGAAACACATTCACATAAAAAAACACACCGACCTCAGAGGCACACTTGCAGTCACACACCGTATAGTCAGACACTGCCTCAGACTTTCAGGCATCAGACACGCATAGGTATCATCCACAGGCCCAAATTTTCATTCATGTTGCTTGGTGTCCCAAACACCAGCCTCATGAATACAATCACTGAGAACCCAGTCGTCACAAACAACGGTGTCACACACACAAGCAGCACACATTCCTACAGATACTGTCACGTCACAAACACAGGGGCATTAGTGTTACACAAGTGAGCCTCCAGCTTGCACTGTCACAAAATGTGCACACAGTGACAGACTCCCTCTACAACAAACACGTGAGTCATGGAGTCATGGTGTACCCCCACACCATGCTCAAACCATAAACATGACACACAATTCTTTCATCAGGGACGTCTTCAGTCTCCCCTCCCTTCCTGCAGCCCCAAAATGACAGAGGCCAAGACACAGGTGTAAACAATGCTTTATGGGGGTGGGGTGGGGCAGGGCAGGCCTCCAGGTAATAAATAACTCGTACTCACAATGGCAGGGCCAGGGGAGCTGGGGCCAAATGGCCCTGGTCTCAGGCTTTGGGAACTCTTCAAGAAGGGTTAGGGGTTCAGGGGATAGAGGGGTTAGCCAAGACAGAGGAAGCAGCAGCAGGTACAGATTCCCCCTTCCCCTGTGGCTCAGTCTTGCCCCTCAGCCAGGCCCCACAAGGCCAGGGAAGGGGGACAGGTGGCAGGGCAGCTTCTCCGGGGCCAGGGCAGGTGAGGGGTTCAGCCTCCCGGGGCCTGGATCTGGGGCCCAGCCAGAAGGGCAGGGCTGGTCCTGGAGAACAGGTGAGCTGAAAGAAAATTGTGTGGTGAACTGGAAGGATCCTGGCTCTGTCCAGCTGGTTTGTCTCATTTCTTGATATCTTCCTGCCCATCTGTGTCCATCTGTCCATGCCTTTCTCCCAAAGTGTCTACATTGTCTGTCTGACTTTCTATTTCTCGTCTAAATATAATTTGGGGCACTCTCTCTGAGGTTATCTCCCTGTTTGCCTCAGAGAGCTGTCTCCTTGAGACTGTAAAGAGGCATCTCAGTGTCTAAATAATGTGTCCCCACCTTTGTATGTCTGTGTCACTCTATGGTTCTGGATTGCCCCAGCTCCAGGTCTCATTGAAGGCTTTTCCAAACTAAGGAGACATATCCGGTTAGCAGTTCCTGCTTTGCTGCTGACAGTATTACCTGGGAGCTTCCAGAAATTCCAAAATCATGTCATAATCTCTGGGATGAAGCCTGGGCATCAGTAGTTTTTAAAGCTCTCCAGGTGATTTCAATGTGTAGCACTGCACTAGTGGGCTGGGAAATAGTTTGGTGGGCACTGACCAATCTTTTATTGAAATGAATACATAGAAGGTATCAGAGTGCATCGTTTGTAATAAGAATTTTGGTCTATAGAGACAGAAAGCAGATGGGTGGGTGCCAGAGACTGGGGGCAATGGGGAGTGACTGCTTAATGGGTATGGGGTTTCCTCTTAAAGCAGTGAAATGTTTTGAAACTCGACAGAGGTGGTGATTACACAATCTTGTAAATGTACTAATTGCCACTGAATTATATACTTTAAAATGGCTAGATTTATGTTATGTAAATTTTACCTCAATGTTTAAAAAAAAAGGATATTAGTGCTAGGGAAGCATGTGTTTCAGTTTTATATGTGTGTGTGACAGTATTAAATCAGCACATATTTCCTCCTTCAAATTGCAGTCAACCAAGTTTGAAAAAGTATCACCCTATTATATTTGATTCCCTGAGGGGCAAACCCTGAAACAAACCCTGTGCTAAGCCCTGGGGTAAAGAATACACACCCATCCATTTCTGCACAGCCACTGTCAGTCCCTGTTCTAAACACTTTACGTGAATTAATTATTTATCTTCTCAACATGCACATGAGGAAGGTACTACTGTCGAGGAAACCAAGGTCCAGAAAGGTTAAATATAATTTTCCCGGAGTCACCTTGCTATTATACAAAGTGACAGAGTCGGAGTTTAAACACAGGCAGCCTGGCTCGGGAGTCTGTGATCTGTCACCTCCTTTCCTTCTCAGATTGGGAAGAAAAACACCAAACAAATAATAACAATTAAGTGTACAGAGTTGAGAGCTTTAAACAAGGAAAGGGCGGTTGCGAGACCACCCAACGAGAGGGAGAGACCCCCATCTGGGATAAAGGTCCCTGCAGGAAGAGTCATGTTAGCTGAGACCAGATGATGAGTGGGAGTTGGTATAAGAAAGGAGGAAGGACAGGCGCACCCAGCAGAGGCACAGCAGATGGAAAGGCCTGGAAGGAAAAAAGAGCACTGCCCCAAAGAACTCATCCTGGACTCCTCTTCCTCAAATTCCATATCCATTCATCGGGAAATCATGTTGACTCTGCCTTCAAAGTATATCCAAAGTCCTTTTCCCCACAACCCCCCTGGAGCTGCCAATGGCTGGGGGGTGGGCATGAAGCACAGAGGGGAGAATTGGGAAGAAATTCATACCCCCAGAGAGGTGGGGATGTGATCCTGTAGGATCTTGCAAGTCTGTCAAGAAGTTTGGAACAAGCAAGCTTCCTGAAGGAGGGGGAGGAAAGAGGGAAGGAACGGTGTTCCTGGCAGAGGGAACAGCATGACTAAAGACCCAGAGAAACAGAGAAGCACTTTAGTGTGGCTGCAGTGGCCTAAGAAGTGGGGATATATGCAAGTTGAGGCAGGACAGGCTGGCACGGGCCAGCCAATAGAGTCATACACCAGGCTCAGGAGCCTCAGCTGCGTCCCATGGATCCTGGGAGCCATGGATGGGTGGTTTTAAACAAGGGAGGGATAGGATCGGATTTGTGCTTTAGAAAGACCCGGGGACTACATCAAGAGGGGTCATGACTGAAGACAGGGACCAGGGAGGATACAGAACCTATCACTTCTCAACCCCTCCTCTGCCCCCACAGTGGTCCTGTCCACCACTGTCTTTGACTTTGCAGTAACCTCCTCACCGGTCTCCCAGCAACCACCCTGCTTCCACGGTTGCCTCTACCCTGAACATGCAGTCAGAGTGTCTCTGTGAACACCTGAGTCAGATTCCATCCCTCCCTTGCATAGAGCCCTCCTATGGCGCCCAACCCACCCAAAGTATAAGCCAGAGTCCTCCCTGTGGCCCACAAGGCCACTGATCTGTTCTCCTCTACTCCCATATCCTGCTTACCATCTCCCCCACCCCCAACACACACACATTCTCCCTCTCTCTCCCTCTTTCTCTCTCTCTCTCTCCATTCCACTCTGCTCCGCTCCAGCCACATTGGCTTCCTTGGTCTTCCTCACTCATGAGAGGCATGACCCTACCTCAGGGCCTTTGCACTAGCTGTTCTCACTGCCTAAAATACTCTTCCCCCTGTCCCCACATGATCCCCTCCCCTCACCTCCTTCAGTTCTTTGCTCAAATATCACCTTCTCAGTGAGGCCTTGCTTCATCATCCTGTTTAAAATTCCACTCCTCCAGCTCTCCACCCGCCTTGCCCTGCTTTATTTTTCTCCATAGCTCTTATATCTCTAACTATTATATAATTTACTTATGTATCTTGTTGATTGTCTCCTCCACAAGGGCAGAGAGTTTTGTCGTTTCACCAGTGACTTGAACAGGGCCTGGCACACAGTAAACATGCAATAAGTATTTCCTGAATTATGAATGGGAGGGTCAGACACCCAGTGAAGAGAGCTGGCAGGGGGACGAAAAGGACTTCCTCGTGGCTGGGAAGACGGCTACTGTAACTCAAGTGTTTT